TCGTTGTATATATATATATATATATATATATATAACTGTGATTTCTGTTGGTAGTGATAAAACAGAATTGGAAGTAACGGCAGGACAGAATTGAAAACGGGAGTAGAGTCTTAGCTTTGATAGTTTTATTAATGATTTTAAAAATACACATATTTACAAAGATGATATAAAAAATAGAATGACGTTACACATCGAGAACATTGATGGGAAAGCTCTTGAAATGGGAATTAATACTCGAGCTGATCTAAAAGAGAAGAGATTTTGTTAGTTGGAAAAATATAGGAACTTTATTATGACGAGAAATCTTAATTCTAATCTAGGTTCTCAGAAATATATCTTCTTTCACCAATGTTTGAAACTAGTGACCAATTTTCGGCTAACTTAGTACAGACGCTCTCAAAATTTTTCATTCATGGAATTCAGTCAGATATTTTTTCAGTCTATTTTAATAGTAATTTAAGCGTGGAGCATTAAGTTTCAATTTTTCAATTATATCTGTATTAATAAATAAAGCAACAGAGTAGCATTGCATTAGTGATGCAAGACCGTATCGACATTTAAGCTTTAGGTAGAATATTGAGATTTAATATTATCATTTCTTTTAATTTTATGTTTACCTTACTTTTGTGTGAATTTTTAATCAGTAAGAAATTCTTTACTGATTACAATTTGGGAACATCTGAATGGCACATGTTTGCTTAGAAAAGTTTTTTAAAAAATAATTGGAATGTGTACGAAAAAATCCATTTCGCGTCCAAGAAACCATTTTCATACTAATCCAAATTTTAGTCCAAATGTTTAAAACCTAAATTCTTCAGATGTATTTATATTTTTTTGTCATTAAGATAAGAATGCCTAAAATTCAAGGCAAAAGAAAAAGTAGATTTAACGAAAAACGATTGTAATTTTAAAACACATCTGAAAATAGCGCGAAGATAACAAGGAAATCAAGGGTCTTTGCCTGGCTGAAGAGCGAGCATGGATAGTGTTTAAAATGATAGAAGTAAGTTTGAAATTTTAAAACATGGATTGTTTTTTTTTTTGAAGTGTGCCGTTTTTACTCAAATACCAGTGAGTATGTTTTATACATTCTTATTTTGTCATTAATTGTATATAGTTAACCATAGTTAATAATTATATCAATTGAAACTTAATATTTAATACATATTCATGCAATCTTGACAATCCCCAAACTTACTTTTTCTAGATTTTGCAGACTTACCGCATTTCAAAGAGGAAAAATATTTAATAAAATGACGGAGTTTCGAAAATTAGGCCAATCTAAAATGATTTATACAGATTACACGTACAATCAGTGCACTAAATAGAACATTTAACATCCCGATTGATTTTTGATATAATAATTATTTTCAGTACTCACTCTTTGTGTTCCAAGCACCTAACTTTAAATATGCTAAATTATTAGAGCAGAGGTACAAAACCAGACACAAAAACGTATTTACTCTGAATAAGCATATCTTTTTATCGGTGAATTTGGACCTCTGTCCCTTAAAATACGGAGGCTGCTGAAATCTGAAAAATATGCCCTACAGTTTGATCAGGATTGTGGTGTAGAGTTTTGACCCCTTAAAGGCTAATTTTACTTTCTGCGTATTTTATCATGTCTCGAGAATTTTTTAAGCAAATCTAAAATTTATTGAGTACAGTTATAAGATTCTTTTATCCTAAAATAGGGGACTCATTTACATACCATCCATCCATCGTAATTTTGACCTGAACCAGAACACGATCAATATACAATCCAGTACCCCTAGAGGCATTGATTTGAGATGGGAATTGGAGGACTTTGTGACTCGACAGATTTAGCGTGCACGATCTCTATTCTATACGTGGGAAGTCTTCTGCCGATTGGGTATCGAGCTCACGACGACCTCTTGGACATGGGTCTAACGCCCTACCAACCAGGCTAGGCCGGCTCTCGTAGGAAACGTTTAAAATAATATATTACTCACAATAAATAATCTTTGGAATTGCCGTTGCTAACTCAAAATTGTATGCTCCGGCGTCCATCTTTTAGTTTCTTCATATTGGCAGCTTTCATAAGTCTTCCCTAAAATGAAAGAAGATAAGCTTTTAAACTTAACACTAGAACGGCCCACATTTTTATCTACCTAGAAAGATCATTACAGTCATATTAACCGCAATAAGAAAATTTGCAAAAATGCTTGAATTTTTAGTTCAGACTCTAAGGAAGATGGCGCTGTAGTAGTTTGATCCGTTTTTATTTATTTGGTGTCTTTTTAACCGACGTGTGTTCAAAATTAGGCAGTGG